GTGTCTGAGAATGGGAAACACCCTCATTTGCATGATGACATAGATTACTGTGATATGCTTGCTGATTATGAGACCGCACTCGCCATCACGAGTGCGGGTACTGACGATGTTCTTGAGCGTTGTATTTTGCTAGGTGAGCAGGCATCGCAGGAGCCGCAGCTGGCGGAGCAGTTGGCCGAGTTGGAGAGTGGCCCCTTCTTGGAGGGCGACAGGCTGTTTAAACCGATCTCATCCTCCACCCGCATCGCTACTTCCTTGGAAGAACCACCAGAGCTGGAGCTTAAGCCCCTCCCTCCTCATTTGGAGTATGCATTTCTCCGGGAGGGGAATAAGCTGCCAGTCATCATCAGCTCGACCCTCACACCCGAGCAAAAGACCAGACTGGTGACCTTGCTGAAGCGGTACGAGCGAGCCCTCGCATGGAAGATCACAGACATCCGGGGGATCAGCCCTTCTTTCTGCTCCCACCGGATACTGATGGAGGATGAGATGCGGCCAGTGAGACAGCCGCAGAGGAGACTGACACCGAACCTCGAGGCTGTGGTTCGGGCAGAGATCGTGAAGCTGCTGGACGCGGGGATCATCTTCGCCATTTCCGACAGCGAGTGGGTCAGTCCCACCCAGGTGGTACCCAAAAAGGGTGGGATGACTGTGGTGCCAAACGAGAAGAATGAGCTGATCCCGATGCGCACGGTGACTGGGTACCGTGTCTGCATTGATTACCGGCGTCTCAACGACGCTACTCGGAAGGACCACTTCCCGCTACCATTCATTGATCAGATGCTGGAGAGACTGGCGGGACACGAGTTCTACTGTTTCCTGGATGGGATGTCCGGGTACTTCCAGATCCCGATTGCACTGGAGGACCAGGCGAAGACCACTTTCACCTGCCCCTTCGGCACCTTTGCTTACCGGAGGATCCCATTCGGGCTATGCAATGCCCCGGCGACTTTTCAGCGATGCATGCTCGCTATCTTTGACCGTCTGGTCGGCGAGATTATGGAGGTGTTTATGGACGATTTCTCGGTTTATGGAGACTCATTCTCTCACTGTCTCCATAACCCGGAGCTTGTCCTTAGACGGTGTGAAGAAACGAACCTGGCACTGAGTTGGGAGAAGTGTCACTTCATGGTTCGAGAAGGCATAGTTCTTGGGCATAAGATCTCCAAGATGGGGATTGAGGTGGACAGAGCGAAGATCGAGACTATCAGCAAACTGCCTCCTCCTACATCTGTTAAGGGGATCTGGAGTTTTCTTGGTCATGCAGGTTTCTACAGGCGGTTCATCAAGGATTTCTCTAAGATTGCTCTGCCCCTGACGAAGCTTCTAGAGAAGGATGCCCCCTTCCAGTTCACTGATGCATGCACAACGGCTTTCATGACCTTGAAGGAGAAGCTCACCCAAGCTCCTATCATGGTTGTTCCTGACTGGTCCTTACCATTTGAGATTATGTGCGATGCCAGTGACTTTGCTGTTGGAGCTGTGTTGGGGCAGAGGCGTGATCAGCATTTCCGGCCCATCTACTACGCCTCGAAGACCTTGAATGATGCCCAGGAGAACTACACCACCACGGAGAAAGAGCTGCTCGCGGTGGTGTTTGCCTTCGATAAATTTCGCCCCTATCTGGTCTTGTCCCATGTGATTGTGTATACTGATCACTCCGCGATTCGATATTTGATGAGCAAGGCTGATGCAAAGCCTAGGCTCATACGATGGATCTTACTCCTGCAGGAGTTTGATATTGAGATTCGGGACAAGAAGGGAGCAGAGAATGTTGCTGCCGATCACCTCTCCCGGTTGGACGCACCCCCTGCGGACAACCTCGAGGAGGAGATCAATGACTCCTTTCCAGATGAGAGACTGATGATGATGTGCTTGGTGGAGAGTGTCACCCCCTGGTATTCTGATTTTGCAAATTATCTTGTGGGCCAGCAGCTGCCCAAGGGGATGACCACTCACGCCAAGCGGAAGTTCTTCTCCGACCTGAAGTACTACTTCTGGGATGACCCCCATCTCTTCAGGATCGGAGCTGACGGGATCATCCGTCGATGTGTTATGGAGAGTGAGATGGAGGGCATTCTATCTCACTATCATGAAGGACCTGCTGGCGGTCACCACGGAGGAAACCGCACGGCGAGGAAGGTGCTCCAGTCGGGCTTCTACTGGCCCACGCTCTTCAAGGACGCAGACGCCTTCGCACGCCGGTGCGACCGATGCCATAGGTCAGGTAACATCTCTGCCCGTGATGAGATGCCCCAGAATGTGTTTATTAGTTGTGAGATTTTTTATGTCTGGGGTATCGACTTCATGGGCCCCTTCCCTCCATCCTTTGGCAATACATATATTCTTGTTGCTGTTGACTACGTCTCTAGGTGGGCTGAGGCGCAAGCTTTGCCCACTAATGATGCTAGACGTGTTTGTGGTTTTTTGAAGCAGCTATTCTCCCGGTTCGGGACACCTAGAGCCATCATAAGCGACCGAGGCACCCATTTCCAGGGTCAATTCGATAAATTGTTGTCTCGCTATGGTGTAACTCATAAGGTGTCCGTGGCCTATCATCCTCAAACCAGTGGCCAGGCCGAGCTGACAAACCGGGAGCTCAAGCGGATCTTGGAGAAGACGGTGAACCTATCCCGCAAGGATTGGTCCACCAAGCTCGATGATGCTCTGTGGGCATATCGCACTGCCTACAAGACGCCCATTGGTACCTCACCGTACCGGCTTGTCTATGGAAAGGCATGCCATTTGCCCGTGGAGCTAGAGCACAAGGCCTTCTGGGCCCTTAAGCTGCTAAACTTGGATGTTAGTGTTGCAGGTGTTGAGCGAAAAATGCAGATGTTGGAGCTGGAAGAGTGGCGTTATCACGCCTATGAGAACACCAAGCTGTACAAGGAGCGCACGAAGCGCCTACACGATGCACGGTTGCGGGGTCCGAAAGAGTTCCAGGTTGGTGATCGAGTTCTCCTTTATAACTCTCGCCTGAAACTCTTTCCCGGAAAACTCCGTTCCCGGTGGTCTGGACCGTACACGGTCACGCAGGTGTTTCCATATGGCACGATTGAGATTGCTAACACGCAAACTGAGCCGTTTAAAGTGAATGGCCATCGTCTCAAGCTCTACCTGGGAGACGAGGTCGAACGTGCGGAGTTAGCAGTGGAGCTCGCGGACCCTTAGTTCCGCAAGTGGCGTCCAGCTAAAAGACGGTAAAGAAGCGCTTGTGGGGAGGCAACCCCACCACGGTTTGCATTTCTACTTTTGTTTTTATTTATTTATTTCAACTTGGTCGGTTTTTGAGTCTTTGAGTCAGTTTGGAGTCAGTCTGGAAAGTTTTTCGTGCCTCGGGCGGTTCGTTTTGATGTGTGATTGGTTAAATTTCAGAGCCGGGGCACGAATGAATCATGGTGGTTTGCGATTGGAAATTGAAAAAATTGCATTTCAGGCTCGGCATAAAAAACACGGGCAGCAGGGGTATAAAACACGGCCGTGTTTTGCCCTATGCCTGCCCGTGTAATGCCTTTTGCTCTCGGCATAAAAAACACGGGCTGGGGTTTCTCATCAAGTCAATATTATGGAAGGAAATTTAGAAGATTCATCTTTGAAAGATACTCCAAAGAAAGCGTTCGAAACGCTAAGAGAAAACTAGCTCCTCCATTCGAAGATGAAGAATTTGGGGAATGTTATAAGCCATTCACGGATGAGGAAATTACACAAGGGAGTTTAGCTCTTTCAATCATTAGCACCAATCTCTGGATATGTCCTTTGAATCTCAAGCACCTGATGAGGCATCCGAGAGACTCCATGGTCTTCACTGTGGAATCCACCAGAAGTATGATTTCTATGAAGAATCATCGGTGGAAAATGGAGCTCTTACCTCTTGATCTCAAGGAGTCAAGTCTGGTGAAAAGACTTTAAAAGACGCGCTTGTTTGCGCAACCCAACACCTCAATTTGGGTATCTTTTCCTTTTCTTTTTAAATAATTTCTCAAGTAGAGAAGTAGAATTGCGTAGATGAAGATTTATAGGACTTTACGCTTGCCTCACATTGTCTTTGGCTGTTTGATTGATTTAGATGAATGATTAAGCTTAAAAAGTGGATGAAGACTTGATGTTCATGTTCAGGGCAAAGATCGCGGTTGTCATGCTAGAGATCGTGGTCGCGATCTCGTAGCAACAGCCCATGATCTTGTTCGTGTTTATTTAAAGGGAAAACTACACATTGCATCCATGTGTAGTCTATCTATCTCAATTTTTAGATCTAAATGTCATGTTGCTCCACCTCTCTTAGCTTTGTGAGCATACATTCTCTACTTCACTTCATCTTTTGAGAAGTATTTTTTATTGTTTTTGAATTTCCAACATGTCTCCTAGCAAGATAAGGTACACCTTTTCATTTCTCCATATTTTAATTACCTTGTTTAGCTAATCATGTGTTGAAAGCGTTGAAGACTTGAAATGCACATCTTCATCTTTTCATGACTTTTTGATGCCCTAGGATTGTTTTATTTGCTTTAATGTTCATGCTATGTATTTTGGGAGACCTAGGTGGGCTATTTCGATGCATTTCTTGAGTTTTTAAAGACCGCCCCCCAACTGTTTGAAGAAACTCCCCAACTACATAGTTCCCATTTCTTCAATCCTACTCATTGAGCATCAACTTCCATGCACTTGTTTACTTGATTGTGTATTGTTTGGGGAGGCCCTAGCATTTTTACTTGTCATTGAACTCCATCTTTATCTAAGTACTCTCTTTTGTGCATGAGTTACTCTCACTCAAGTGTGGGAAAAAGCTAAGAGAGTTGTTGAGAGTTCTTTGAATAATCCGTTGGAAACATCTGTGTAGCCAAAATTTTGACGGTTTGGCCAAATATAACCAATTTTGGCGAAATACCAGATATAGCCACTTCCATCACATTTTTTATGGTGTTAGCTAACGTGCTGACTGGACTAACGGATCGTTCAATGTGGAGATTTTTGACCTGTACATATTTCCCACGTGGATTTAAAAAAAAGGTTATGTATTTCTCACGTACAACCTAAACAAACAAAAAAAATCCCCAAAAAAATTTCATCGCCAACACCACCTTGCAAACCCTTCCTTGTCCACTAGATCCTGCATCGGCCGCTGACTGGTATCATGGTCGGGATTCAATAGGAGGAGATTTTAGGCTTGGATTCAAACAACTACCTCACCTCTCGATTTCAAACTACTATTTCTCCACGCGATTCAACCAGCTCCCGCACCATTCCCTCAGTTTTTGTCTTGGAAATTTGAATCATTCCAGTCTCCAGATATGTTCCATATCTCCAAAATGCATTCCTAGATCTAATCCAAGCTTTCTCAGCGACCACCAGGTATAGTCAAAGAAAACACAAAATCGAGAAGCATCAGACGCTAGTAAAGTCTACCCAGGTCAAGCGTCGCTTTGATTCCCAACCAAAATCCTTTCTCTGACACAAATCGAGGGTCATAGTCTCACCATCCCTGCTCCGGCGCAATTCGAGAGTCTGAGTTCCTCTCCTCCCCTTTCTTTGTCACCTCAGGGTCATCCGACCGATTAATAGTTCCTCGACAAGCACATTCCAACAACGCGATTGAGACGGGGATGGGTTCATTGACGATTGCGGCGGGGATGTGGCTTAGGTGAGGGACAGCGCGGAGCTGTGGTGGCGATGTATAGTGAGGTACTGCGAAGGCCGGAGTGCCTCTGTGAAGATTGCGCATAGATCTGGCTGGTCGTTTCAGCCTTGTCTGTGGCTGGGTTTCGTTTGTCGGAGAACAAAACCATAGAGGACAGATCGGATCTGGAGAATCGGGGTTCGTCGGTCGTTTGGTTCGTCGATCTATGGGAGATACTGGATTTGATTCTCGAAAGAATAGGGGGCAGGGAGTTGGATCGGAGAAGATGAAGAAGGGGATTAGGAGAAGATGAAGAAGGGGATTAAGAGAGACAGAGAGTTCATCTCCTTTTTTTGTTTTGTTTATTTATGTAATTAATAATAATAAAAAGCTAATACATTTCCACCTAGAATATTTTGACGAAAAGTATTTTTTAACTTTTGTAAAGGACGTGTCTTCCACCTATCAGTGAATCCTGAGGTGGAAACGAAAGAGATGATGAGTTGGCACCCAGGTAAGCGTTCTGTTAAATTGACTAGCGTCTAGCGGTGTGTGATGTTTGGATTGATGGTTTGTGCATTTTGTACTACTTTTTTTGAAGGATAAATAACAAGACTAAGAAAATGGCACGTGGAGAGAGTTGTTCGAATATGGAGCGTTTTCGAACCTCTCATCCTTGCCATGTCCATCGAAAGAAGAAAAGTAAATCCGGGGTCAAAGTAAGTAGTTGTTGAAGAACCACATCCACCATCACTCTCTCCTCGTCCACCAAGGTAAATCCATCAAGATAATAAAGCTAATGTTGGAGGAAACATAGGGCACCTCACTCACTATTATTTGGACAATGTTCCCGGGCAATTTAAGACCAAAATTTTGTTGCTTCAAGGATTTCCTCTATGCGAGATTTCATGTATCAACTGGATACTCTTCACAACTTGGGATTGAGGATGCAAACTGATCCAAGGTTCAGAAGTTGGAGTGCTTAAATTGTTATGCATTCCAGAAAACATCTACCTGATACTTGTTCTAGAGTTCATTAGCACTCTTACAATTCAAGATATGAGAGGTGTTGCCGACCTTGAAGACAACATCCAATTCCAACTAGTAGGATAGCATCGAGAACTACTGATAGGGCAAAAGCGTATATGCCAATCTCCTTCCCAGAATTTCCCCTCTCGCCCTCCGCCTCAATTCTTCCACCCGTCTGTTCCAATTATTCCCCATATAATTCTTCTCCTCTTCTTTAATTGCATGCCGCCCATAAACCCCCTTCAAGCCCAAAATTACTTTCCTCCCACAATTCGTTCCGTCCAAATCCTTCCCCGGGTCCAATTTCCGTGTCCAACTTATTCTACTACTGGAACTTCGGCCCTGTAATTCCCCTCCGAGCTGCTCGTGCCCCATTTAATTCCGTGGGCCAATCCAAGCCCAAAAACACTGCTGTCGTTCAACTCCCTGCAGCCTGCTCCAATTATTCGGTCCCCAGGGAAGCTCGACCCAATCTCCACCTGCAACATATCAAACTCATGGCACTAGGCAGTAATGGTTTTTCCAACCATTCTCGGGTTAGCGAGCCCTCAAATAGCACCAATTGGTTAAAACATACCATGGATAATCACATAAAGTCCAAGAATTCAATATGTTAAAGCCGATTATCACAACCCCACACTCAATTGTTGCTTGTCCCTAAGCAACGACGCAAAAGGCAGACACAAAACCATCCACAACAATGACACATCACAGACTCACCAATCAAACACTCAAAACAAAACAAAACAAAATTTTCCTTGTACTCTTGTTGTAATCAGTAGTTTCTTTCTCAACGGACAAGTTGTGCTTTCATGGTCATACCTTTCACCCCACACTCAAGTTCTTTGCAACCATTGTCATTGACTGACTCAAATCCACTAAAAACTCAATTAGCAACACTCAATTTCAATCGTCGGTAGTGAGTGATTAACAACTTATGGTGCAACAGTTATTAGGAGAATCTAACCACATCAGTGAGGTGCATATCTCGTGAGGACAATCTGGCTTACTCACACCAATCATAAGCAATCAATTAAGCATGAGTCTCAAAAACTAATGGGGGAAGCCTTTCGCAAACAAGATTTTAACTTTAAGCACATCATTACCTTTTATGACAAGGAGAGGCTTTCTCTCTTTCTACTTTTGCTTGCCGAGAGGTCGTATTTAGTACAAGTGGGATTTGTTTCTTACTACCGGTGACCGAGCAAGAGCAATTCCTGCTTCTTAGCACTTGCATAAGGGCTTCTTTTAACTCCTTTTCCTCGGTCCGTGTGGAGGGTCATTGCACCCTCTAATGGCACTTCACTCTACTGGGGATCGTACTTGATAAGCAACATCGTACGGTCACGAACCGATTCTCAATTGAATCTTTCCTCATCCCCATGTGCAATGAGTGATTGCCTCACATGATTTTGGCATTTTTACCCACACTTTAATTGTTATGGCAACTTTCTTATATTTTACTTGTCAGGTAGTGTTTTCTCATTTATAAAGATACAGTTCACCCCATCATAAAACCTTTTAAAACAGAGAGACTCATTGCAAAATCATCAGCTCACAATTTATGCAAGTAAGCACGGTATCCAAACATGTCGAATGGTCAATGTTCTCCACCTAACTACTTCACCAAAAGTCGTTACACTATCCTCACAAAAGAGAATGTTGCTAAAAGAGTAGCTCATTCCAAGCATATCAAGTCAGTCAAAACATTCAAGCTCATTGTGCAGAACTTTGCAATTCAACACTAGTGGGGTGATTTCGATTATTTCATTCAAGCACAAACTCATTTTCAAGGCATTACGGTCATTTACATCATGTTACCACAAGAGTACAAGGTTTTGTTTTTAATTTTTTTTTATTTTAGGTGTTTTTTAGCCATTAGCTTTGCACAGGCAGCCTGCTTTTTACACAGGCAAACTGCATGCAGTTTGGCTGTGCTCAACCTAATGGCAAATTTTTTTTTTTTTGGATTATTTTTTTTTTGCCGACCACATGACAAAAGGAACAAACAAACACTAAGACTCGCCACCCCACACTCAGGATGGAACATTGTCCCTACTGTTCAACTCCTAATCTAAACATGCACGGTTTGACACAACGAAAAAGAAAAATAAAGAAAAGAAAACTTACCTTGGGTTGCCTCCCAAGAAGCGCTTGTTTAACGTCCTCAGCCTGATGTTTATTGAGATTTCAACCAATGGGTATGGAAAGGTATCCAGAATACCCTCCCGAGCAATGATAGAACGCATAACCTCCATCCAGCATATGAGTCACCTCTGCAGGGCCAAGTGTGCGAAAATTGGGTATGACCTTCTTAGCTTGCATGTTAGACCCTTTAGTGAGGCGTAGGTGGTATTGCAGCGCCTCAAGCAAGTACTCTTCCTGTTTCAATGTCAGTGAAGAAGGAATAATAACAGGAAGATTGAAATTCTTACCCAAATATCTATACTTGAGGTGATCTGACAAGGATTTCTGTCCTTGCTTTGATTTCAGAATCTGAGCAGATAGGACATGTGATAGTTCTTTGGGTGGTCCACTATCATAGGAAGAGGAATTTTTCCTTTCTCGAGCTCCACTTTCAAGGTCATCAAATGCATCGTGATTATGATCAACTTGAAAGACATTAAAAATTTCCTCCTCCTTACTTACTCGGAATGTCAACTTGCCTCTCCCGACATCGATGAGTGCATCTCCAGTTGCTAGAAAAGGTCTCCCAAGAATGAGAGGCACTCCCCGATCATCTTCCATCTCCAGAATTACAAAATCTGTTGGGAGAATAAACTTCCCAACCTTCACCCATACATTCTCCACCACTCCCTTTGGAATTTTCACTGATCGATCAGCCAATTGGAGTGTGATCCGAGTAGGCTTAAGAACATCTCCCAATCCCGATTTCTTGTAGAATGAGTATGGCATCAAATTAATTCCTGCTCCAATATCACAAAGTGATTTATCGAACTCTCTACCTCCAATGACACATGGAATGGTGAAGCTGCCCGGATCATCCCTCTTTTCTGGTAATTTATTCTGAATCACAGCACTACATTCAGAAGTAAGGGTTACCTTCTCCAGATCAGCCCATTTGCGCTTCTTAGTCAGCAACTCCTTTAAAAATTTAGCATATGTAGGCATCTGTTCAAGTGCCTCCGCCAACGGTATGTTGATATGAAGTTGCTTGAAGATATTCACAAATTTCTTGAAGTTTGGGTCTTCCATGGGCTTCATTAACCTTTGAGGGAATGGTGCGGGAGGTTCATAAGGCTTTACCTCTTCCTTCTTCAATTTTTCCACTTTTTGAGGTACACGGGCAGATTTCTTTTGCACAGGCAGATCGCATGCAGTTTGCCTGTGTAAGTCAGATTTTTCAGCTTTTGCACTTTCTTCCTCTACAGCTGCTTTGCCCTCCTTTTCTAGCGGATTTTTCTTGCTCTTTGGATCCTCCAACTCCTTCCCGCTCCTCAATGTGACGGCTACAACCATGGAGCCCTTTGGATTTCTCTCAGTATTTGCTGGTAAAGTCCCAGGAATCCTACCTTGAATATCTGCCAAAGTTTGAGCATCTGGCCTATTTGCCTCTCCATAGCTAGCATAGATGATTGCATATTATTGTTGATGGCTAGCTGTTGAGTGACAAATTGTTCAAGACCCTTGAAATTATTGTCTGTTTTCTGCATATGAGCCAAAATCAACTCCTTTAGCTGGGGCTTCTTCTCTGGTTGAGGCTGCTGCTGTTGAAAACCAGGAGGTGGGATGTTTCGAACACCAGCTGGATTATTATTCGACCATGACATATTGGGGTGATGTCTCCATTGAGGGTTGTACGTATTTGAATACATACCACCTTGGCCTTGACTTCGCGGATTATTGATGTACTGGACATCTTCCAACTGAGCAGCTCCCAGTGGACATAAATCCCTATGATGAGCACCTTCACATAATTCGCAAAAAACAACCTCCTCTTGTCTACTAAGAGCCATCTTAGCCAGCCTTCGTTCGAGTGCATCAAACTTGGAATCCAGTTTAGCATCTATCTTGGCTTCTAGACTCGCAACTCTGTTTATCTCATGCAAGCCTCCTCTTCTTCGAATACTAGTCTCACTACCCAATTCAGTGGCTTCTGAACAGATCTTCTCTACCAGATCATATGCTGCTGGTGCCTGCATGCTTGTGAAACCATTTCGAGAAGCATTATTCAGGGCATCCCGGAACTCCCTTCTGATTCCATTGAAGAAAATAATGATAACGTTCCAATCTTCTAGACCGTGGCTTTGGCATATCATCAATAGCCCCTTATAGCGCTCCCATGCCTCAGTCAGACTCTCATCATCAACCTGCTTAAAAGTAACAATATCTTCTTGCCTCTTTATTGCCAAGGCAGGTGGGAAGTATTTATCCAGAAAGACCTTCTCAAGCTGAGCCCATGTCGTGATGGAATGTGGTGTTAAGTTCTGAAACCAGTGTGATGCATTCCCTATCAGAGAGA